ATTTCAACAGTGGCAACAATTGCAGTGGGCACCTCTGCCATTTGCAGATTTTCATGTGTGACAGACAGTCTCTTGATCATCAGAGGCAAAAATGCATAACTCATGGTGATGACTGTGGTGAAAAATAGTGTTTTATAGCTAAGAATTTACTATTAAAGAGTGTTACCATGTTCTTTGTATCACTTTACTTTCCACGCAAATAAATAAGAGGCATTACTTTCAGAATGACTTATATATATTTGCAGAGTTCTTTTTTCATATTATATAAACTGCAGATTTTGGAGGCTGACAAACACAATGTTATGAGAATGGAGGGGTGACATAAACCCTTTAAAGGAATGCACAGTTGTGCCTGGAATCAAGATCCAGGTTAGTTGAGTTGCTCTGCAATAGTTCTCTGGAGGTACCCATTGTAGAATTACATGGCATAACAAGAGATAGGCAGGTGCTGCAGAAATGACTGAATTTCCAAATTGTAAAAAGAAGAAGCTACCAAAGGATGCTGAGCATTTCTTCTGACTCAGCTGCCATGTAGCTTACTTAGTAACAGAATAAGAGGAAACCTGGGAAATGCGTATTATTTCTATTACATAAAGTGCTTCTGGGATTTTCTTTTATCTTGTGGCAAATGGCATCTGATTCCTGGAATGTGGTAGAAAAAAAACCAACATGATTGTATGGGTGTTAGACAAGTAGTTACCCTTAAGGTCTAAAATGCTGTTTCCTAGTTGAGATATTCTGATACATGTGTTTCTCTAGTCTGAGCAACATATGTAGACAAACAAGCATTCACAAGTAAAACTTGAAAATGAATAAGCAAGCAAATACAAAATAGTTTTTCAAATTGCAGTCCTTTCCTCATTTGTAAGTTTTGGAACTCTAGGTTGTTCAGATCATGTTTTATACAGAAGAAGTCGAGATTCTCATAATAACAAAATCATTTCACTAAAGAATTTGGTTTTGTTGATTTTTTTTTTTCTCTGAAGCATTGATACTCAGAATACTCATCTTTAGTAGCATAAAGTTAAATGGGAATGAATCTGAAACAAAAGATCAGAGGAGGAAATTTCATCTATTTATTTTTCATTTTAAAAAACTGTATTTAAAAATTCCCTTAATATTTACGTAAATGAGGTCTTATAGGCAAGGAAATGTAGAATATTTATCAGAGGGTGAGAAAAAATTCAACAGAAGATGCTTTTTTTAAGTAGTTCACTGATAAACAAAGCCTCAATTTTTCATCGGGCTTTGATGATGTGATAGTCCCAAGCTGTGTAGCAATTTCTGTGTTGGTAACAGTGTTCTGATGAAAATTTTGAGGTTAAAAACATGGGCATTTTGGAGGCCTGAGTTAAAGTGCAAGACTTCTTAAAAATCATTTTTCATTTCCTAAGAATTATGTATGTTGTAGGAATTTTACTAGAAACTCTACTTTCATGGTTTTTCAACTTTAAATAAGTATCACTGCATGGTAATTTCAAGAAATATCTTTAGGGAGAAGAAGTGAGTAGGCAAAACCAAATCAAACTAAACCAAGAATAAAACCAGGAGAGGAACAGGGTTAAAGTCAGTTGCAAGACTTTATTTACACATAGGAGCAGGGATTTGATATATTCTGATTTTTTAAATGGAATTACATTTCACAAAACTGTACATTTCATTTTTGATAGAGGAAATTAAAATAGTCAAACAGTATGAAATTAATCATTAGCTAAATTATTTTAATTCTCATAGCTCAAAAGTCAGCAGTGTTTAATAGTTCTAGACTTTTTAAAAAATGTAGTTCTTTGCAACATGAACGAAAGTTGCTGTAAGAGATCAAACCTGTTTTTCTGCTTTAGTTATTGATGTAACCATACTTCTTGTGTTACACATAGAATTATTATTGTTTTTTTACTTGTGGCTGATAAATAATAAAATTAGAGGAGGTGCCTATTTCAATTTAAAATATCAAGCATATAACAGAAATATAAATAATTTTCCCTTCTGGCATGGTTTTCATTCTCTTGGATGTTTCCTTTTCCCCAACATTATATATAGTACTGAAGTTTTGGTTGCATGAGCAAAACCCCAGTTATCTCTTAAGTGTTCTTTTCAATGCATGACATGTCTGCTCATTTTTCTGTATTTGTTCTATTTTTTCTGTCATGTAGTTTTCTTTTAGATATAGACTTGGCCTTTTGCGAATAATATAGGTGGGAATGACATGTTTGCGACTACGTATGGCCTAAATTTTGCCAAATATGTAACAAATTATTGACGGAACAGTCAGCAAAGCATTGACAACTCTCCTGTACTTGTTTGCTATATAAAGAGTTACAATTTTGTTGAAATAAATGCTTGGTAACTCTAATTAGATGTTCATGTGTAGAACCTGAGTTTGCTGCTATGTTACTGGGTACCTACTATGAAAAGCTTTATTTTATGCATAGCAATAAATCATATAGATATGCCTTTTTCTCTGTTTCCATCAAATATTAAGCATACTAGGTAACAGTATGATTTTTTTTTTTTTCAGTCCTCCCATTTCTCCTTTGATTGGCCTGAATTTGGAAACTGTTTGATTTCCTTAGCCTTCTTTTTATGCTACCTTTTCTGATTTTTGTCAACATATAACTTATTTTTATTATGTAGGGAATTCCTGTATTTGAGAGAATAGGAACAGCTGAGAATTGTATGTAATATACTTTCTTCTCTAGTGAAATGAGAATTTGTCTTCAGAATATGTGAGTATGTATAAACAATTGCACATAAGTCTGGTTGCCAGAATGACTAATTAGGGGAAGTGTGTGTATTATATAACAATAATGTTTTGAGGAGATTGTCTTCTGGTTCTGACTTTGTTGATTAAAGGACACTGTTTCATAGCTGATGTCTTTGCTGTTAGAGTACGATTGGCAGTGAGTTTTTCCTAGTCAGCACAATACAACATCAAGCGTGTCAGCTCAAGGCTTGTACTGATTTTTTAAAGTAATCTGTCCTTCTGTTCCTGCAAACAAGTAAGGAGGGAATTTGCATCGTCCTTCCTTTCAGCAGAGGTGTTGGGGTGCTAGCCTCCAGCTGCCTGATTGTGTTGACCATCTGGGAATTCTATTATCTTCACCTGGCACAGCTGTGTTAGCAAGGTGAACGTCTGTCCCCAGCCTAAAAGGGCTGTGAAGGAGGTTTGAGCTAATGCACTTCCCTTTGTGATCAGTTTAGACAACATACAAATAACTGTTGTTTGTACTGAGCAACCAGTATTTTGCCTTGTGATTATGAGGGAGTGAGTATAATTACAGGTAGTAGTGAAAACTCGGCTGAGAACGAGTGACATATCAACCACTGTAACATGAGCACTCTTTGTCATACTCACTTGGTCCCACGACTGGACATCAAAGGTGTGCTTTAAAAGATATCTGAAATCAGTGAAAATACCTGTTGATCTTAAAAGGTATTATAAAAGGCTGGAGGTGAGTAGAGTATGACAGTATGCAATACTGTGCCAAAGAACTAATAGAAACTCACTGTTAGGTGGGAAAAGACCTGGAATTTAATAGCTTCGTGAAATCAGTTATCTGCCTTGAATAACATTAAGATCTAGAATTGCTATTTTAAGTCTTGAGTTTGACTACAGCACTTGTCTGAGTATATCAGCATTATGGCTGTAGATTTACATTGAAAATATGTGTTTCCAAAGCATTTTCTAACTGAAAAAGTGTTTACAGAACTAATTAAGTTGTTGGGTATTTTTTCCTCCCCTGTGTGATAGTGTATTGGTACTTCCCAAGTAGACATTTCATCAGAAACAAGTCTAGAAGTTAAAACATTTTGTCAAGAAATTGTAATGGCATTTGAGGTACATTACATTCTGGAGTACTGCGTCCAGTTCTGGGCTCCCCAGTACAAAAAAGACAAGGATCTCTTGGAAAGAGTCCAGCGGAGGGCCACGAAGATGGTGAAGGGCCTGGAGCATCTCTCCTATGAGGAAAGGCTGAGTGAACTGGGTCTTTTCAGCCTTGAGAAAAGGAGACTGAGAGGGGACCTGATCCAGGTCTATAAATATCTAAGGTGTGGGGGGCAGAATGGCGAGGCTGGACTCTTTTCAGTGGTGAGTGGAGACAGGACAAGGGGAAATGGCTGGAAACTGCAGCATAGGAAGTTCCGCACAAACATGCGCAAGAACTTCTTTACAGTGAGGTGACGGAGCACTGGAACAGGCTGCCCAGGGAGGTGGTGGAGTCTCCTTCTCTGGAGATGTTCAAGACCTGCCTGGATGCCTACCTGTGCGACCTGCTGTAGGGAACCTGCTTTGGCAGGGGGGTTGGACTCGATGATCTCTGGAGGTCCCTTCCAACCCCTACAATTCTGTGATTCTGTGATTTTGTGATTACCATATGTATAATCAATGAATAGTAAGATGCTATAATTACAAAATAAACAAGAGAGTTAGGCAAAGCAGGTTATAACAACAAGAAGAGAACAGATAGAACACTTACCTGTATCCCAGGCTTACTTATGAAGCTCCCATGGAGTGGATCTCCAGAAGAGATCCTTCCCTACTCGTAGTCAGCTCTTAAATGAGTCTAGGAGGGGCTCCACCCCTTCTGGCTGCACAGGTGAATTGCCTTCACTTGTGCTCCCGTGACTGACTCATTGCTCGCCTCAGGTGGTCAATCAGAGGTTCAGGCCATGATTCAGCAGTTCCCATATACCATAATAGAGCAAGTTGTTGCAGAAGAAATATTTGTATAAATCAACCATTTTTAAGACCAAATTGGGATTTGGAAAACATGGTTTTGTTGTCTTGGAGTGTTTCATTAACACTAAAGAGTCTGGGTTTTTTGTTTGTTTGTTTCGAATTTATAATGCATCTTTAAAGGTGGGATAATGTATGGGTCTTGCATACTTCTTTGCAGTATTGGTGATGTTGTATTTCTCTAGGTGGTTTTATACAGTGGTATACTGTAGTTCTGATTTTATTGTTACTCATGTAATTTATCAACACTACCATTTTTTAGGAATTTCAGCAGCCTTCTTTAGGGGAGCTGGAGTGTCTTATCGGCATGCAAAAATCTGAAATTGAGCTTTTAAAGGAAAAATTGAAAAAAGTGAGTCTTAACCTTGTGGAACATAATTTATACGCTACAGATACTCTGAAAACCTGCAATGTAAGGACTGGAAGAAGGCATGAGGTAGGATAGTTTACTGTCTAGTGTATTTGTATCTAAATAATATTGGTAATGCCAAATATTTTGTTCAAGTGTCCAGATAATAATTGTAATATCTGTTGATACTGCTTGTAATTCCGAAGCTTGTTTGAATGGTTTTTGTGTTATCTGCCAAAGTCTTGTTAGAGTAGCTGTTGGGAGTAGAAAGTTTTACCTTGTAAATACTAAATAAGGGATTCTTAATTAAATGGAATATTTGGAGGCTCAAGTCTTTGTAGGTTTGTTAAAATGAATATTTATCAAGTATTTTGTTGTATTTATCTGAATGACCATCTTTTTCTAGAAGGAAAATGAGAGAAATATAAACAGTTATGCTTTTATAAATGAAACATTCTTTCAAATTCATTTTTATAATATGACATAGCATTTTTTATCTATAAAAAAGTCACAATTATATCAATTTAAAATTATTTAACTTTATTCTCTGTAGTGCTGGTCTGCCCCTTTGGTGATAACCTATCATTAATTTAGGCACTAGATAACAGTAACATCTGTAAACTGTAGCTAATTAAATGGATCTGTAAATAATTCTGTGACTTAATTTGATTTATGCAGTGAGCCTATGTTGTTATGTTTGTGAGTGTGTTCAGTTCCCTTGCAATGTAAATTTTAAATTGTGATTGTGTAGAGTATGGAAAACTTGAAATAAGTTTCTAGAGTGTGGAAGCAAATTGGAACATGTTTCTGTGTGGTGAAAATTGTCAGCAGGGGTGGACCACAGTCCTGCTTTCCTTCCCTTCCATGCTGCTTGTCCAGAGATAGAAAGAAATCGGTGGCGCTGGAGTGAAGCGGAGCCCAGGATGCAGCAGAGGGAGAAGAGTGCCATTTTGGTTTATTCCTGATACAGTGTTCAATTATGCTCTTAAGTGAGCCTATGTAGATCCAGTTGTGTCTCTTAGTACTATTTGAATTATTTGATATCTACGCTTTTTCATTTGTTTACACAGTCCCTTTTTAAATTTTTGGGAAATAAACTGACAGACTAAAAAGCCTTCATATTTAGGCAAAATGACATTCTGGTTTTAGGGTCACAGAATATACATTGAAAATACAAGTGAATATTGCTATTTTTACTGATGTCCCACTGCCACAGGTAATTGGAAAAAGTCCTAAAAAGAAGGCCTTTGGGACAAAACAGAAACTTGCTGCCAGTGTGATAAATTGTGATGTGGAGCCATGTAACTGTATACCTCAACCTGTTTGATTCTGTAGAGTACATGGATATGCATGCATGCATGGGCTAGCACAAATTATTGGGAACTGCAGAAATCCAAATCTCATACCTGCAGTGGTACAGAGTAATAAAACCAGCTTTGGCAGCACAGATGATACAGTGGTTATAGAGTTCTGTTGAGCATGAATGTTTGTTGGATTTTTTGATGCTATTAAGTGCATACTTAATGGCAACGTCCAGTTTCTGTGGAAAGTGATATACTGACTGTTTTCTGTAAAAAGTCAGTTCCTTGATCTTTCTAGAGCTATGGAAGCTAAAACTTTACAACTTAGTGAGCTGTGATATCTGTAACCATATTAATCAGTCATCCTTATTCTTTCAGGCTGATTCAGTCACACAGCCCTTGTCTGTTCGTTTTTCCTGATCTAAAGCTTCTATGAGAAGTGGGAGTTTATTGTTTTGTGCTAATATGTGTTCTACAGCATTCCTATGAGTATTTATATATTTTCAAAACACAATAGGTCTCTTAAAATGCAGCAATTAACTCAAGTTCCTGTTGAAACATTGCTAATCAAAAATTAGCCATTATTCTTCTTCTAAAAAATCCTTCATCTTGTGCTCTGTCAGCCTGTGGCTCACCTTCAACACTGTTTTTCTTTTTTTTTTTTCCAACTGATGAAATACGTTAACGTTTCTGCCCACTGCCTTCAGAGCTGTGTCTTGGCAGTAGACATTGATCTGATTCGTATGTTTCAGAAGTTGTCCAAGATGCTTCTTGATGAACTTCCCTGATATGTTTTTGTTATTGTGGCTGTTGTTTTTTATTGTTATTATTTTTATTTTATTATATTTTGTTTTATTTATTTATCTGGCTTGCCTTATGACTCTGACACATAATTTGTTAAACTCAAGATCATGATTTTCCCTGTCCTCACTGTCTTTCATGGTACAGGCTAGTAACGGGAAACTGTTTAAAAAGAGACATCTTTGCTCTTTGTGCTTCCTATACTGCCTCTATTGTCATTTAATGTGTATTAGATACATTCACTTAACAGCCATTTCTTCACAATATATCTTCCACCACCTAGTTTCATATCTCTTAATATTACTAGTTTTGTTATTTCTGTTTGTCTGCTATTTGCTTTAGTCTGTAATAAGTGTGATTTAACATCAATTGTTGGAAAGTTTTCTGTTGGTACTCTTGACTGACTTGGATTCCTGTTCTTTGCTCATAAAACTGGACTTTTTGATATTCCTAGACATTTAGAAAATATTTAACACGCACATGAAAAGCTGGGTATTTTTCTAATACAGAAATTTACAGAATTTACTGCAGTGTTTGAAGATGGAATTAAAAATTATATGCCTAAGCTTGATGGTGGCAGCAAAATTTTCAATTGTGATAAGAGAATTACAGATGCCATCTTCCAAATTGAGTTTTGCAGCAGCCTCAGGCAATCAAATTTCAGTGTACTTTACTATAAAGTCTCTTCTGTCTTGGTAGGAAAATTAAATTGCCTTCTTTTGAACAAAGATTGCCTTTGGACAGGCTATGTGCAGCTGCAAAGCCAAGACACGTCTCCTTTTCTCCAAAGATCTGTACCTAAACAGGTAAAAATGTGTTAAAAGAATAGCATGTTTCTTAATGCTTATCACCAGTGCCACCTGTGCTCACAGCACAGTATTTCCATGCCTCTCAATACTTAGAATTTTTTCTATTATTTTTCATAACTTGGCCCAATATTTCAATTGTAGGAAAGATTCATAGCACAGTCGTAGGTAGCTATTCAGAAAATCTTCTATTAAAGAAAAACTACTACTGCTCATTGTATCTGATCATCTTTGATTAAAGATGATTAAAGATTAACTTTTTCCTATATTTTTTGCATTTTTCCCATTTCACCTTACAATTTCACTACCTGATTTCCTTTGGTAACGGCTGATCCACATCTTTTCTTTTGTTGTTTTCATCTTTGGCAGTGGGTGCAACACTTTGACCATTTATTCCTGATTTTAGAAAAATCATGGATTTTCCAAGTCTTCTTTATACAAGTGTAAGGTTTATCTAGGAGTTAATTTACCATTTTTTTCAAAAATGATGTGCTTCATTTTTTTAGGGAGTTACTATGAATATGTAGTGATTTGGAATTGGGTAGTTTGATTAAGGTACTGACTTTATTAAAGAAATTTGGGACTTTAAAGGTGAGTAGGATTTTTGTATGTTGATCTTGAGATGTTATTCTTTAGATATCTCATAGGGATTGATCTCATTCAGTGTAATGTTGATAGCATTGCTGACTAATATCAGCAGTTATTAATGGAAGGTAACTTTTTGATATTTCTAACAATATTAGGAAAAAAAAAGTAATCTTCCTATTTCAAGGAGACCTACTCTTAGTACAGTGTTATATTGTATATAAAACCATACATTTGGAAATACGCTTGTAAATGTTCATTAATAATTCTTTCTGGTTTCTTCTGTTACATAAAAGAACTGTCAAGAATAAGCTGTATTAGAGCAGTTATTTTACAGTGAAAATGGAAGCATGCAGCATCACTAATTACAATTAATATTATTTTTTGTTTTACTTTATTCATTTTTGTAATTGTATTTTATCTTAGAGTTGCTAATTGTGTATTAATGTTTCTCTGTCCTTTACCAAACTTATTCCGAAAATCAGAAAGTCTAATTTTATGAGGTCTGTCTTTTTTTGCTGTTAGGACTTATGACATAGAATGATCAAGAAAGCTGCCCAGTTTAAGTGTTACTTTCACATATTCTTTCTCCAGATTGCTATATGAAGCTGTACATAATATAAACACATATTCTTGTCTCTAGTTAGTCACATTATAGTTAATGACCATATGGTCATTATGGTGTAAGATCTACTGTCTGTTGTATTTATATTCCTCAAGCATATTGTTCCTTCAACTTCACAGTGTGTTAAACTATTTCAAAGGGAAAAAAATCCTTTCCCTCTTGTTTCTGGTTGTCCTATCAAGTGTAACCTTGGACCCTTATAGAGCAATTAGACCAGCCTCTATCCCCTCCTTTGTAATGAGGTTTCTTGCATTTCTGAGTCTATAACCCTTTAGTCTTCCCTAATGGGACATCATTATTCTGAAAGAAACAATGTAAATGTAAATGAATATTCTCATTAACGAGTCACAGAGAAACCTTTAGTGGTAGCGCTGTGGTAATTCTGCTTGTTATTTCTCTGGTATTCCATGCAGATTTTTTTTTTTTTTTATAATTCATTATTAGTATTCAAAATTACTTCTTCTTTAATTCTGCATGTCTTTTATAATCCGGTGTTCCAACTAGTTCAACCATGTCCTTGTTTTATTCTCCAGGAACCACCTGTGAAACGTTCAAGGTCTCTGTCCCCAAAGAGCTCTTTCAGAAAGTCAGAGGAGGTAAGGAAACTTAAAATAGCTGAAAGGAAGAGTGAAAACTTAGAGAAGACCCCAAAGCTAAAGGTGAACACTTTAAAAAAATAATAAAAATAAAAAAGGCAACACTACAGTAAGACATCCTCTAGTTTTAAGCTTGCATAGATAAATATACATCAAAATAAACAAGCATTTAAAAACTGCAAAATACACATATTGTTTTGGACTTTTAGCATAAGAGAACATTCTCCGTTAGTTTGCCTTTTTTTCTTTACTGCAAAGAATCCCCTACCATCCTGTGACAGCCTGAATTTCAAGCTATGTTATCAAGAATACATCCTTTTTCAAATTTTAGTTTTGAGAATATGCATTCCAGGAAATTCATGTATTCATATAGAACTAAAATGAAGCACAAAGTACAAAGAAAATATTTTATCATACAGTGAAGCCGGTACTTTAAATTCTGAAGTCAATTACTTGGAACAGATGTTACCCCTTGTACTCTTAAAAGTTACGCCTCAGAAGAGGTTGTTTGAACGGATACTGTAAAGTGAAATAAAAATAAAAAAACCCTCGTTGGTAGAAAGGCTTCACTGAGCATATATTACAATTGCCAATTTTCTAGGCTTTTGTTTGTTTATTTGTTTGTTTGCTTTTCTTGAGGAAAAAAAGGCAACATTTAAAATGACCTATTGGTTTCTTGTTGCAGCTCTGAATGCCTTTCAAAGCAATCAAACAAAACCAAAACCCAAACTCTGAGTCACATTTTTGTAAACATTCACAATCGTTTACAGTTCATTCTCTCCTTCTATTCCTTTTTTGTTTTCTGTTGGTCAGTAATATATCTTAAAATGGTACTGGTTGTATTTAACCTGCTTTGATAACTATCAAATGTAAAAATTAATGCAGTCCTGCAAGGCATATTCCTGAGTTCCTTCCTTGTGGTCCTATGCAATAGGTTGATTTTACAAAGGAATGTGAGTAGGAATTGTATTCTACCACAAGTGGCAGTTTGTTATGCTATGCAAGCAGTATGTGAATAGGAACAGTGACTTGGATTTGAGTAGGTCTGTCAGTCTGTCTTGCTCCTTGTTCCTGGGGTTGCAAAAGATTAATTTGGTATTGAGTTTAATTAATTGGTGTTGAGAGATGCAGGTCTTATCAGCTGTACCTGAGAACTTACCTTTGACAGGCATTGTGGTTTTTACTCCATGTTGGCCTGGCAGTCACTACAGATGATTGTAGCAGTGTGTACTAAAGTTGCTCCACCCTCTGCTGCAAAAGCTAGCACATCAGTGTATACGATTGTTGTTCTGAGTAATACAAAGTCCCATGCTGCTTGGGGGTTTCTTATGGAAGGAGAAGTGAAGAGAAACACTCTGAATTTCTAAGCAAATATAGAAGAGAAAATATTGTTATTCTTTGCTCATGGGCTCATAACACAGATCAGTTATGATACTTGCCTTACTGCCTTTTCCGTTTATTCTTTTTATTCCTGAAGCTTAACTTAAGAATCTGCAGCCTATACGAGAGCTGCTCTGAAAGTGACGCCTTCTATGTTATTCTGTTGACTGATGATGTTAGAGGCGGGAGCTGGTGGTATGGCAGTAGAGGCTGAACCTTCCTACCAGTATTACATTACATTTTGTTGCTGTGTGACAGATGGCAGCAGAGGGGCACTCTTGACAGAGTGGTGCCTGTCATGGAAGGGCATGTGAAGCAACGGTGTGTCTCTGAGTTCCTCTATGCAGAAAAAATAGCACCCATTGACATTCACTGACACACTGAATGTTTCTGAGACTAAATGGATGTGGATGTGAACACAGTGAGGTGGTAAGTGATGTGTTTCAGCAATGGCAACAGCGATGTGCTTTCATGCAAGCCACATTCCAGACCACTGTGCAGATTTTTACAAGCGTGGCATACAGGCTCTTGTTCACTGCTGGCGAAAATGCATACCAGTGCCTACATTGAAAAACAGTGTCTTGTAGCTGAGAATTTACTCTATCAAATTGTATTACTGCACTTTTTGTATCTGTTGTAGTTTCCATGGAAATAAAGAGAAGGCATTACTTTCAGAGCAGCCTGCATATATTACAAGTGTGGGATCTCTCCTCATCATTTCTCTAATCCATGAAGTCCTTAAAGGCTAACTTTTATATTTACCCATGAAACTGACAATATGATCTCCTTTAATATTTGTAGCCAAGTTGGTTCACTTCTTTTGTAATATTCATTAATTGACTGAAAAAGCTGCGGTGGCACGGGTCAGTGTATTGAGATCTCTTGTGTCACAGCGTACAGAATTCAATGAGGCCATTGCCAGTATGGCAACTAATAAGGTCAGAATAACATCAAAGTAACTTTATTGGTATTGTATATTTTCTGTATCTTAGCCTAAAATAAATAAATAAATAAAAGGGATTTGAATAGCTTTATTTACTTTTTCTTCAGCCCAGTCAGCATTACAAAAAAGCAGAAAGAGGGAAAGTCCCATTCCAGGACTTCCCAGTTCTCATCATCTGGCACAGTTCTAGCCAGAGAACTTCAACTTTTACTGTAATTACTAGTAATATAAACTGGACAAATATGTAAATTCTTATAACTTCAGTGTCCATAGTTTTGATACAGAATCTACTTCATTTCTGCATACCAAGACATATTGGAAAGTAACATAGCATCCTGTATTTCATTCTTTTATAGGAAAGACAGTGTTCTAATGGATTTTGAGTGATGTATTATCAAGCTGGTACTTAAGCTGGTGCCCACAAAGTATATTGTTGTCTTTGAGAAGTGAGTTGGTTGTTGGAAGCTGTGATCTCTGGCAGAGAAGATATCCCTGACTTTTCGGGGAAAGTCACTAAAAAAAGCAAGAGAACTTCACTTTAAATTTTCTGATTCTTTTTGATTAAAGCTCAAAAGTTCTGCAGATTATTGGGCCAAAACGTGTGGACTAGTCTGTAGGGGAGACTTGATATATGATTGTGTGAGAGATAAGGAGCACTGTTAAGCTTAGCTGTGATAATAACAGGATGAATTTCAGTGGTGGTTGAGTAGTTTCTGTTGCAGATCGGACTTTACCTGTCAGTGTGTGACATGAAGTGTTACAGCACGGCTGTGGAGAGGTGGAGAATAATGTGGAGATCCACTGCTGAAGGTGGATTCATTTCCATCACTACCTAGAAAACTATATACAAGACAGCTTAATTATTATAAAATATAATTAAATTAGGGGAAGGTGGAACTAAACTGAGCTTATGGAAATATAACAGAGTAAATTTCAAGTTCTGAAGTGATTAATGCTTTAATAAGACAAAGTGATTAGGACAGTTATTTGTCTAATTCCTTCCTCAGCAAAAACAGAGCAATTGACAAGGGAGTGACTGTAAGGGAATGGATAATAAAACAGGTAAACAATAATGAAAATCTTAGATTTATCAATAGAGGAGGCCATGGTCTGCTCTTGGTTACACCTTTGAAAATACTTAACGCTAATAAACTTTATATTTTATACTTATGGGCTTTATGCTGAATAGGCTTTATATTGAAGATACTACTTTGCAGTGTCTTACCAAGCTTGATTGATTTTCACTAGCAATATCAAATAATCTTATTACATAAATAGCAGCATATGAAATTTTAGCTGATTTTTTTTGGCTAATGTTTTTACAGCTCTTTTAATGTGTCATGAAAACTGGGCTATATTTCAGAAGCTATATTTAGTCTAAGTATCTTGTAGTTAGTACTTCTTTAGAAACCCTTGACATTTTTTTTATGCTGGGGTTTAATTCTTGTTGCATGTCACTCTGTCTTATTTATGGGCTAATACGGAAAGACTTCCTTGCTTATATTATGCATACAAGCATGCATATAATGCATACAAATAAAGTATTGTGATTTACACAGATCTTAAGGAGCTTGTTCAGTAGTCAGTGTACAAGCAAAGTACTTACTGAATTGAAAATGCAGCAGTCAGAATAGATTTTACTACTGAGTGTTGTCTGGTAAATTCTTTACTACTGTAGGCCAGAATTCAACTTTCTTCACACTAGAGAATGTCCTTCCCTTAATATTCTTTTTGTGTTTTTATTTGTTTATTTCAGAACACAGTATTGTCACTAATGGAAACGTGATTTTTTAATGATTTTTAAATTATTGCTTCCAACTTTCATGATGATATCTTGTTGTGTGAGTCAAACCACATCTTATTTTTTCTTTCTGTGAAAGAGAAGTTTTTTATTACTAAAATTATTGTAAGCTTTGATCATCTTTCTTTTTTGTTGCACAGGTATTGGCCAAAGCATGGGTGTTGCAGGCTCATGTATATATCTATATTTATAAAAAAATTAAGGGAACCTTTGTATCATTTAAATTAAGGTATTTTTTTACTGTGGAGTTCATTGTGGCCAGTACTGTTCCATTCAGATAGAAAAGTCGTTCATAGGGAAATATATCTTTTTTCAGTCTTTGCATTTTTAGGTATGTTACTCTGATACATTCACAAGATGAACACAGGTATTTTTATAGGACATTTTCTAAAAATTTTTAGCAACAAGTAAAAAAAGGTTTGACAAGTTGTCTTAAATTAGAGTTGAAAAATAGCGTAGCTGTATTTGACCTCAGAGACTGTAATTCCTTACATTTAAGTTTAGATTTCGTAGGCTTTTATCAGTGAATTAAGTAGAACTTTTTTTCTTTAGATCTCTGAAATTCTCTTGCATTTTGCCAAACTCTGATTTTGTTTCTTTTTGGTGCTATTCAGACTCAAGAAACTGATGAGCTAAGAGCAGCCCATGAAAAACGCAAAGAAAGGCTGCAGATGTTACAGACCAACTACAGAGCACTAAAAGAGCAATTAAAGCAGTGGGAAGAGGATGATAGCAGGTAAGTTACATAGCTCATTAAAAACATTTCCCTTACGCTAGAAATCTGAACAAAATTATTTTGCAGGCATTCAAAAGAGAATTTGATTCCAAGCAAGAAGCTGCTATGTGTTAATCAAGACTTTGTTAAAGCAGAATACACGACATACCCCTATATGACAAAAATTACAGTTGTAACCAAAAATAAAATGCGTTGAGCTGACACCTTGACGTATTTTATTAGGACCTCATTCTGAGTCAGTACTGGACAGAGGTCTGCTAGGGCTGCTTATTTGGCTTGTCTAATTCCCCAGCTGATTAATTTGTTGACTGTGTATGTTTTGAATTTTCTATAATGGAACAATTGCTCCTTATGTTTTGAATAGTTTTTTGAAGTAGTTTTTTCATTAAACAATAAAAAACTAATAGCCTCTGTGTGAAACATTTAGTGATTCAAGCATTAACTGAGGATAATCCTAAAATATCCCTTTTTACAGGGAAAAAAGAGTATGTGCATGAAGAGCAGGATTTTTTCAAATGTTAAATGATGATAAAATCAAATATTTCTGATCATTTTATAATAATATTGCTGTAAAATATCTTTGTGAGTGGATAAAAAAGAGAATGTGAAAACTCTAGCACATCAAAATTTAAATAGTCAATATCCTATGTGTAGTTCACCATTAAATTCTATATAGAACAGTCAAAATTTTATGGAGAAATTTGTTTTTGGAGTTAGTATTGTTGGTAAACAGTTGCATTTGAAAATATAAAGACATTTTTATCACTTCAATTATCAAACACTGCTGAGGTACAGATTTTGGGCCCTACTTCAAGGGAATCCTGATGTCCTAGATACTTTTGTAGGATTTCAGCAAGCACCCAGAGTTTTGTGTATACATGTGTTTTACTAGAAATAATTATTTCCTTAATTAGCGCAATCCTGATTCATCTTGAGACAGACTTAAAAGATGTCTACAGACAAAAAAATAGTCACAGAAACTGCTGCAAAAGTGATAGTAGCCATTTAGAGAATCTATGCTGACTGTGAATGAAAACTGTCCCTCATATATACTTCATGCTTTGACTTATTTAAGTACATTTTTAGTACTGTAGCATTTCCTAATCATAGTTTGTCTTTTAAAAAGAAAAAAAGTCTAGATGAAGATAAAATAATGCTACATGCATTGGTAGCACAGGAGGATTCTTTTAAAATACAGAAGCACGAATAACTAATAGGTTTTTTTAAATTAGAAAAGAAAGGTCTTGTTTATGTTGGAATAAAGGGTGGATTTTATCTTGTACTTCTTTGAGAGTTTTTTTTATTTCAGTGCAAATTGAAAACCTTCTAGATGATAGTTGTTTATTTCTGTGTCTATAAGCTAAGTAGGCATTCATGGTTCACAGAGAGAGTAAAGCTGAAAGGATCAAAAATTCAGCCTGGAGGTGGTACATTCAAATTTTCATAGTGAAGCTTTGAGAATTCTAGTTCTGATAGCTTAAAAAAAGGACAGATGAGAAAGTGGAAAAAGAAAAAAAATGGCAAACTAAAAAAGGAGAGAGAGAAGAGCAACCCCTGTTTCTGTTCAAAATAAATGAGATCTGCTTGTGTTCTGACAGGAGGGTATCTGGGAAAAGTAGATATTATGGAAAGCGTAATATTGAAAACTTTATTCATTAATCTGATTTTTTTTTAAAACTCTCGTTAAGTTGAACTAAGAAGTAGACTTTATGTTTTTTATAATCAGAAGAGAATTTCATGAAGTAAGACAATACTGAAAGGGATTTTTTTTTATTTTTTTTTAATTTTAATATGCCGACAAGGAAGAGTAGCCAAGTCACAAATAAAAGCAGTCTGTCAATTGTTACACCTTGCGCTATTACTTTGACATCTCAAAAAGCTTTATATTGCTGGTGTAATGTAAATTGTGCATTAAGAAATCAGTATCAAGTATTTACATGATACTTAGGATCCTCTGTGATGGAGGTCCCCATTCTTTCTGATTCTCCAGAGGATAGAGTTTATCTGTATGGCAGCTGATGGGACCTAATCTACCTGTCAGTGTGCATACAACTTTCACTGACGTAGGGGACTGCAAAGATGATGGGGCTTTATGAGGTTATGACACTTTCTTAAAATCTATTTCCATGCCCAATCAAAATTCAAAATTGCAAGAGTGTTTATCTTTGTTTATCTTTCCCACTTTTAAAACACATGAAAACTATTCTATTGAAAGGAATATTGTAAAAAAAATTTACAGTTGCTTCTTCTTTTCTTCTAAATATTTTTTCCTTATTTTTAATTAATCAGTAGATCAACAACTGAATTAGAGCAGGTATTTATACAACTTCCAGACTGCTTTTCAGGGGCATTTAAGGAGCTGGTGTCTCTCATTTTTTTTTTTTTTTTTGCAATAGATTGGTGATGGTTTCACCTTTTGCTTTCAACTATCAGTATTATAAGGAAGGCTGACAGAATAAACCCAAATGATACTGCTCTCAGTTGATAGTATGTTGTTACCATACCAGTTAGATTTCTGTCTCAAACTACTTAATGAACTTTTTTATAATGCATTTAACGTGTCATGCTTCACAGAACGTATGCCTCCATTCATCCATCAAGATTTGTATTCAATAGATGCCATAATTAAGAATCTGTATGCTGTGAATGCAAGGGTGTTTTTGTGATTATAGTGTTCCTAAAGCATGTAGTTATTTAAAAAAAAACAACCAACCTCTTTTCATTCACAAACAGGACTGTAAGCAGTAAAGGCAGATACCAGCGTGCAGATGCCTGCCAGCTTTGCCAGGAGGATTTTGCTGCTATGTGGAATGAACTGGCTTTTTTCAAAATGGAACACGAAAAACTATTGATTGAAAAGTGAGTTTGCCTCTCAAGTGGTGTTTACATTAAGAAACATGCTGCTGGTTTTTTTTTTTTTTTTTTTTTTTTGTGAAGGTTGTGCCTTGCAGGCCACATAAAAGGAATTCCTTGCAAAATTCCGAGATAAAACCATCTTCTGCCAAAAGCAGAAAGGAAAACATCAGCTCTTTTCTCCCTCTTAAATCAGTGACAAGTTACAAGTTTGCTAGTACTAACAGAAACTGTATTCCATGATCTAGGGATTGTGTTAATTAATGTGGCTCTCATCTGTTGGAGGTGTCGCTCTTCATTAGCCTGTATTTTACACACTGCCGTGCTTCATTTTTGGAATGAGGTGGTGAGGGGATAACCTAGCCAGCCATCCTTGTTTGATCTCTGTGATACATACGCAATGCAGAATGCCTCAGCTCTCTTGGTTCCCTGCCCTGTCCTGCTAATCCCAGCTGAGCTCATTATGGTGTAGCCTTGCTGCTACTCCTGGAGCCAGAGCTGTCCAAGCTAATTACTGGCAGCAGCAGAGCTGCCTGTTAAGGGTCTGGTGTGGATCTGCTAACATGGTCCTTGGTAGTGACCTGCAGAAAGCACGAGGGAGTTGCTCTCTTTCTTGCTCTGCACAGCCTGTCCTTTGGGTTTAGTGCTGATCCCTTCACACAGCTCTTTTAGCTGTAGTAAGTGTAAAACTTGGTGAAGGAAACTCTTACTTTAGAAAACATACAGTTTGCTGCTTTGATCTCGTAATTCATAGGCTATTATACTCAACCAGGCAAAGTAAGAAAATGTCCCTTTTATACCAGACAAAAGGAAGTTAGTATGGTATAATTAGCCCTTTGCTGCTACTTAACACTTTCTGTATGTTAAGTTGATTTTTTGTTCTGTGTGTTATAAGAATCAAGACATTGTAGAAACTTCTATTCAGACTTTGTTTTTGTCAGCTAAAGAAAATGTGTTTTCCCAATGGGTCACAATACAAACAGATTTTGTGAAGATATCGTGAAGGCTACTGTCACAGAATTTCAACAGCAGCAAATTGTTTTGTAGTATGTAAGTCCTTGTGATGCTCGTGAGTTATTTCAGCATATTATGAGCACTGCTCCAAAAGAAATACCTCCTATTTTTTTTTATATTGGCTCACAGTGTCAGGGATGTCGCTGGTATGGCTAATATGAACCTTCCCACAAATATTCTGTTCCAGTTTGCTGCTGTGCAACAGATGGCAGCAGAGAAACAATCTGACAAACTGGCATCTGACGTGGATGTGCTTATGAAGCAAGGGTGTGTCACTGAATTCCTCCCTGCAGAAGGTGTTGTGTACTCCATCCCTGGAGACATTCAGGCTCAGGCTGGATGGGGTCTTAAGCAGCCTGACCTGGCTCTAGATGTCCCTGTTCATTGCTGAGAAGTTGATCTAGATTATCTGTAAAGGTCTCTTTCGACTTATATGATTCTATGATAAAATCTTGCACTCGTTGACATTCATCAATGCTTACTATGGAGACCACAGTTATGGAGACCAGACAGTGGATGTGAGCCCAGTGAGGTGTTGGGCGGTACGTTTTAGCAATGCTGACAGCGACAGTGTGTTGCCTTTGCTGAGGCAGGTTTTAACAAGTGCAGCGTGCAAACTCTTCTTCAGTGCTGGCAAAAATGCATAAGCTAATGATGGTGTCCACAGTGAGAAATACTGTCTTGTAGCTGAGGATATCATCTAACAAATGGTGTTATTGTGTTCTTTATACCTGCTGTTTCCATGGGAAGAAATAGGAAGCATTACTTTTGGAGTGACCTACATAGAATCATAGAATCACAGGATTGGAAACGACCTGCAAGATCATCTAGTGTCCTCGTCAGCATTGCCACCACAAGCACTAAACCATATCATGCAGCACATCATCCAGACGCCTCTTGAACACTGCCAGGGATGGTGACTCCACCACCTCCCTGGGCAGCCATTCCAGTGCCTGACCACTCTCTGAGAGAAATAGTTCTCCCTTATGTCTAATCTCAACCTCCTCTGCAGCCATTACCCCGTGTCCTGCTCGTTGCCTGGGAGATGAGGCCAAATCCCTCTTCTCCACAGCCTCCCTTCAGGAAGTTGTAGAGCTCAATGAGGTCTCCCCTGAGCCTCCTCTTCTCCAGACTGAACAATCCCAGCTCCCTCAGCTGCTCCTCATAAGACTTGTGCTCCAGACCCCTCACCAGTTTTGTTGCCCTTCTCTGGACACGCTTCAGGACCTCAACATCTTTCCTGTAGTGAGGAGCACAAAACTGAACACAGTACTTGAGGTGCGGCCTCACCAGTGCTGAATGATCACCTCCCTGCTCCTGCTTGCCACACTATTTCTAATGCAGGCCAGGATGCCGTTGGCCCTCTTGGCCACCTGGGCACACTGTTGGCTCATGTTCAGCCGAGCACCAACCAACACCTCCAGGTCTCTCTCTTCTTCTTAGTCATCCAGCCACTCAGCCCCAGGCCCATAACATGCATGGGGTTGTTGTGGCCAAAGTACAGGACCCAACACTTGGCCTTGATGTACCTCATCCCATTCACCTCAGCCCAGTGATCCAGCTTGTCTAAATCCCTGACGTACAGGATTGGAGTTAGCTCTGCACAGTCTGTTCTTTTGTCATGTAGTTATTGTTATGAGTCTGTTCTTGTCACTGAATTGTCACATCTTTGTCATTTTAAGATAATCAAAACAAATTATCGTATGTACTTTTGTTTATTTTGAGTTTTATGTATACTACACGTATGCTATACGTGTAATTGCTCTTGTAATTCTCCTATCATGAGTCAACACACCATAAGCAGCATTAACTCGAGCAATAACATGAAACTCATTTTCACGCGAAGCTATGAAATGGAGATTGTATCTATATTGTGCATGCCTTAAAGTTGATTCATTTGGACTATTGCTCTGTAGCTCCTGTTTAGTCACATTTTATGAGGAGCACTTCTAGGCCTGGTACACAGGAGATCAGTGGTCTTGAGAAGATTGTGATGTTGTGATGCAAAGAAACAGCTGACCTCTTTGAAATATGGAATTCTCAAATCAAAGAGAGTTGTTTTCTAGTTTTTCACAGTACTTAGTGAGAAGCCAGTGCACCACTGTGATAATTAAGGTGAACTTGTTATGTGGAGTCGGGTGTTTTTTGGCAACATAGCTAGATAGCTGAGTACAGAAGAAGTCAGCCTCCTCAGTATTCTTTTTTTATTTGTCTTGAGATGTCTATCTCTAATGAAGTCAGTCTTTAATTTGTTAAAACAAGCTAGCATTAAAAGACCTCTACTCACTTTCTTAGGAAAGTCAATACAACAGTGTATTTATACATCTGTGCGTAGGGCTTCTTCATGTTACATGTGTTCTTACTTGAGCTCTGTGGCTATAGGATATGTTCTGCAGAGCTGCACCAAAGATTTAAATGCATGATATTAGAAGCAACATAGGCAAATTAGGCTACCTCACAGTTACTGTGGATGCGCTCAGTTTGATGGACTCTGCTGAATGTTGATTTGAGCATATGTACGTGAAATCTAATTAGAAATTACTTGAAGAAGAGTTTGTGAGGGCTTTCTTCTATTATTTTTGAATAGATGTAATTTATATCTATGAATAAGTCGAGGGCTAATGCTAGGAAACCAGGTTTATTATTTGATTTTTTTCTTTGGTTTACCTGTAAACATTTTCTTTCTTTCTTTTTTTACCCTTTCCAGAGATAGAATAATAACATAAAACGTCTTTAATTCATGTATATTTTGCTTTGAAAACAGTAGTATAGGAAAAGCAGGAAAGGTCATTCATGTGTGTCCCAGTTTCTAAAATAAGCAGACTTTAAACAATCAACTTGTAAGTTATGAAATGTGTTTGTAAACCAGGAAAAGATTGGTTGGAAAGTCACCTGTTATGCTAATACCTAATTCAAAATCCTTTTGAAGTTGGTGCAAAGACTTTCTTGCCCTTATTACCTTCTGCTTGGTGCTACCTTTTATTAAGATTTCTCCTCACCACAGGTAGGAATTGCTATGTCTGTCATATAAGCTATTATATACTATGCCCCTTTCAAGTTGGATACTAATGCAAATTAAAGAATATAGATTTTAGGACCTTTAGGAGTTTTTGTTTTCATAAAATTGCAAATGTCCGAGTTACATATTGGTGAATGTTGACAGAAAATGTGTGTCTTTGTAACTACCATGCTTTATGTTTTGATTGGTAAAGAATGCTATGTGCACATTGTTTTAGTTTGCAATTAAAAATGTATTTCAAAGCCATGTCCTGTATCCTTTCCACGATCAGGTATATAAATTACAGCGATTTGTGTTTATATAGAAAAAAGTATTTATACTGTTACAGTCCCTTGTGAGGAGAATCGAACTGGAATGTCTTTAATAAATACGAGGAGATCATTTTACAGAAACATAGATACATGTATATACATGAATTTATGTAGATGCGAATACACATACTTGTGTATGTGTATAGTCTAGTTCTCAGATTTTTAGATAGTTCATTTACAATCTTTATCAAGTGCTTAGCTTTTGTGGAGTTCTATTAGCAGATATTTGGGGGCGTTTTCTTCCTAGTCAGCTCAATCTGTGTACATGCATTTCTTAGACTTTCCTGAAACTCAGGTTAGATTCATATGTAGTATGCCTATAGTATCACAGTTCAACTATGGCTGGATTGCAGATTAGCTTTCCTCAGTGTGCCCAGGTAGCTGTGCATGTCATCCAGTTAAGAAATGTACTCTGGATCTTTGAAGCATTTGAAATCCCTGCAAGCTAGCTAGTACCCTTAATTTGCTACAGAAGCCATTTAATAAGGATTTCTTATTAATTTCAGTCTTTGCATGATTTCTGTTTCTTAGACTTTATGGAGTAAAAGCATCTTGTCTTTACTCTTTGTGACTGTATCTTAGCGGCGAGCTGGCAAGAATCTAACTTGGGATGAGCTACAGCACATGATTTCTCATGTCCTCTTTAGCTGTTAGAGGTTGGT